AAAAAAAAAAAAAGAAAAAGAAAAAGAAAAAGAAAAAAATTAGCCAGGTGTGACGGCACATTCCTGTAATCTCAGCTACCTGGGAGGCTGAGGTAGGAGAATCGCTTGAATCCAGGAGGTGGAGGTTGCAGTGAGCTGAGATCACGCCACTGCACTCCAGCCTGGGCAACAAGAGCAAAACTCTATCTCAAAATAAACACCTCATTCTAGTATATTCTATTTTCTTTATTCCGCAAAACAGAAAACAGAGTTTGGAAGTGTTAAGTGGCTTGTTTGAGGCTGCCCCACTAAGAGGTGCCAGAGCTGGGATTCAAGCCCCACCCAACCTGCCAAAGAGCCAGAATTTCATAGTCCACTGCACTGTCCCTCCGTCTCCACCTCGGTTGAAGAGCTGAAACAGGAAAGTAGAGCCTTGCCTTGTTCAGCTGCAGCTGGAAACATGCTGGTCTGGCAACTAAAGTCTTTGCTGAAAAAGACTAAGAAAGTGCCCCGAGTATTGACTTTACAGGCTACAGATAAATTCCGGCCAGTAGGCAAGTTCAGAAATACACACACCTTGAATAGGATCAACTACATAAACTCTTTTATCTGGAACCTTTAAAGAAAACGTACGTTGCAGCAATGCTGCTCATGGCATTTAAGACATAACATGCCTGTACTGTGCAGGTGAAACTGCCTCATCGTGCTGATACATGTATGTACCGCAACTGACTACTTGTCTTCTAGTGTTGTCCTGCCCAAAGTCTATGTATTGAACTACGTATTTTACTATCAGTTACATTTATTTCTCCTTTATAACTAGATCACTTATCAATTAAAAAATGTATAAAGCATATTATCTATGAATTTTATTTCAGGTTAGTAAAGTGGGAATTACAAAATATTTACTAAAAAAGAACTCGGTTTGATAGAGTTTGAACTTTTAACGAACATAATGCCATTAGCAAATTGTCAGAATTACAGTAACACTGCTGAAAACAGCATGGATAGTCTGAATCTTTATCTTGAGGCTTCAATAGTTTATCATGTAAATAAGTATTTTTCTAGGCCTAACCTAGTAAGAATTATATTGGGAATGAAGGTGAAACTTTATCAAAAGCCTTTCTGACATCTATTGAAATCAAATTGTTTTTCTTCTTTGATCTGTTGTGAGAATTTTACTAATACATTTCCCAACACTGAGCCATTCTTTCAATCTCTAAATAAACTCTGCTCATCCAGTGTTATTCTTCTAAGTACAGATTCAATACCCTAATGTTTTACACAAAATTTCTTCTTGATACTGAGATTGATCTAGAATTTTTTTGTCTTGTCTGATTCCTATATAAAGGTTATGCTTCCTTCAATAATTAACCAAGAAATATTTTGTTCTTTTAATGCTCAAGGAAGCTATCTGTTCCTTGAAGATTTGACAAAACTCACCTGTAAAAACCACCTTGTGAAGGGACAGTTCTTTGATAACTTTTAATTCCTTCCATGGTAATTGGTCTATTCAGGCTTTCTTCTTCAGCCAATTTTGATAATTTATATTTGCCTATAAAATGATCCATTCCATCAACATGTTCAACTTATTAGTACAGAATAAACCCAGAATTAAAATAAAAATGTCAGCATATAATTTATATTCCCCTTTTTACCTCTAAATATGAATGTTTATTACTTTTGCCAGAGGTTTATTTATTTTATTTGTCTTTTAAAGAAACCAGCTTATGGATTTATCAATGCTACTATTTTTAATTCATTAATTTCTACGCTTCTCTATTTACTTTCTCTTTTCTTACAGTTATTTTGCTATTCGTTTTCTAGCTACCTGGGCTGAATGCTTAAATCACTTATTTCTACTCTATTTACTAAAAGTAGTTAATTATTACTTTTTTGTGTGTGCAGCTTGGGGCTCATCCCATAATTTTTTTTACATATAGTATTATCGTGAATTATTATTAGTCTATCAGTACATTTTTAATTTCCATGTTAGCTCAAGATTTATAATAGTCCCCCATCCAACCAGATTTCTTTTTTTTTTTTTAGCGAACTTGTTCTTAATTTCTAGTTTTATACTGAAGTGCTATTAAATAAATGAAAATTCATAAGTCATGTTTTGTGAAAACTGGCACTGATTCTATTTTGACATCTAACCTAAAGAAACACAGTAGAGCAAAGATAATTTCTTCAACAGGATTATAGCATGCATTTTTCAAGATTCTTCTTTTATAAATGTATACTATTTTCCCTGCAACATCTATGCAAAGAAAAAACTCACACTAAACATAGTAAGGTTAAATTTATTAGTTGTAGCCCTAAGCCTGTAAAAATAGTGTTTGATCAACTAAGGTCTAGAACTCAGCCCATCAGCAGGGGTGATCCAAACAAAAATCACATAACAGTCGGGCGCAGTGGCTCACCCCTGGTAATCCCAGCACTTTGGAAGGCTGAGGCAGGTGGATCACTTGAGGTCAGTAGTTTGAGACCAGCCTGGACAACATGGTGAAATCCCATCTCTACTAAAAATACAAAAAAATTAGCTGAATGTGGTGGTGTGTGCCTGTAATCCCAGCTACTCGGGAGGCTGAGGTGGGAGGATCGCTTGAACCCAGGAGGTGGAGGTTGCAGTGAGCAAGATCACACCACTACACTCCAGCCTGGGTGACAAAGTGAGACTCCATCTCGCGGGGGAAAAAAATCACATAACAGAAGGTCCAACTCAATCCTTTCTTACTCTGATTTTTTCTTAAGAAGTCACCCTCACTCATAAATCAGTGAGGAGGGCAGGATGCCTCAGTGACTTCTTGTCTCCTGTATTAACTTAGAAGTTCATTTTTAAAAAGTATAAAATGAAATGTTGGTTAATTATCTCCCACAACATATAAATAAAGGCCAAATGGTAACTGCTACTCCCACTCTACCCCCATGTCCCCAATATGACAGATACCTGATTCGATCACTTGTCCCACTGTAACCCCAGCGGCTCTCTACTTGCTGGAATCTATTGATGCAGCATTCCTTTCCTCTGAGGCAGCATCTTGGTCGGTCAATGTATTCAACTCGGGGTTTAGGATTGACAGTAAAATGAAGAAAAAGGTTTACCACTTCACGATCTGACAAAATTCCAGATTGAGCAGGACCTGTGGAAATAAAAACATAAACCTAAAAAAAACCAATTTGATTTCAATTCCTAACTTTGGAATACTCCACTTAATGTAAATTCAAATCTGGAGGATGTAATGTAAAAATAAGAAGAAAAATCTTAGCATATATAATTTTTGCATATATTTTAAAGTTTTGATAAATCCATCTGAGGTTAATTAAACACATTAAAATGTTAAAAACATTAATTAGTCAAAACTTAGATCCAGGAATAAATGCTGTTCCTTATAAAAGTGCTCGGAGGATTCCTTTCTCACCTTATACAAAAGTCAACTCAAGATGGATCAAACTTAAATCTAAGAAACCGTAAAAATTCTAGAAGATGGCAACAGGAAAACTCTTCAAGATATTGGCTTAGGCAAAGAATTCATGACTAAGAACCCCAAAGCAAATGCAACAAAACAAATAAATGGGACCTAATTAAACTAAAAACCGTCCGCACAACAAAAGAAATAATCAGCAGAGTAAACAGACAACCTCCAGAGTGCAGGAACATATTTGCAAACTATGCATCCAGCAAAGGACTAATATCCAGAATCTACAACTCAAGTCAGCAGGAAAAAAAAACAAATAATCCCTGCACAAAGTGGGCGAAGGACATGAAGCGACAATTCTCAAAAGAAGATATACGAGCAGTCAACAAACATACGAAAAATATTCATCACTAATTATCATGGAAATGCAAATTAAATCCGCAATAAGATACCACCTTACTGTTGCAAGAATGGTCATAATTTAAAAATAAAAGAATAACAGATGTTAGCATGGATGTGGTGAAAAGGGAACTCTTTTACACTGCCGGTGGGAATGTAATCTAGAACAACCACTATGGAAAAGAGTATGGAGATTTCTTAAAAAACTAAAAGAAGAACTACCATTTGATACAGCAATTCCACTACTGGATATCTACCCAAAGGAAAATAAGTCATTACATGAAAAAGATACTTGCATGTACATGTTTATAGCAGCACTATTTGCAACTGCAAAAATATGGAGCCATTCTAAATGCCCATCAACCAATGAGTGGATGAAGAAAATGTGGTACATATACACCATGGAATACCACTCTGCCATAAAATGGAATGAAATAATAGCCTTTGCAGCAACTTGGGTGGACTTGGAAGCCATTATTCTAGGTAAAGTAATTCAGGAATGGAAAACCAAATATCGTATGGTCTCACTTGTAAGTGGGAGCTAAGAAGCTGTGAGGAGGCAAAGGCATACTGATATAATAAACTTTGGGGACTTGGTGGGGAAGAGTGGGAAGGAGGTAAGTAATAAAAGCCTACATGTTGGGTACAATGTACACTGCTCAGGTGATGCGTGCACCAAAATCTCAGAAATCACCACTAAGAAACTTACCCATGTAACCAAAAACTATTGAAATAAAAATTTATATATAAAAAAGATGATAGGAAATCCCTTCCAAAGCCAGTAAAAGCAGTCTAAAAATAAGAGACTGCAAAACAGAAACAGAAATTTGGTTTAGGAAGTCATAATTCAGATTTTTTTTTCTTTGAGACAGAGTCTCGATCTGTTGCCTAGGCTGGAGTGCAGTGGTGCGATCTTGGCTAACTGAAACCTCTGCCTCCTGGGTTCAAGCAATTCTCCTGCCTCAGCCTTCCTAGTAGCTGGGACTATTAGGCGTGCACCACCATGCCCGGCTAATTTTTGTATTTTGAGTAGAGACGGAGTTTCACCATATTGGCCAGACTGGTCTCAAACTCCTGACCTCCAGTGATCTGCCTGCCTCGGCCTCCAAAAGTGCTGGGATTACAGGCGTGAGCCACCTCGCCTGGCCCATAATTTAGATTTTAATGTAAACTGCCCCCCCAATTTAAAAATATTAAATTTAAAAAGTTTTAATATCACACACAAAATTATGTCAGCCTGCCAGATCTGGCCCAAGTTTCATTGTTTGCAACCTCTGGATAAGGAAAGATTACACAGTAAAAAAATATATAATTACAACTTAAAATCTGCACCTTAGCAAAAAAGAACAGAATGGAAACTATATAAGATCAAGAGAGATGGAGATGAAAACTCTAAAAACATTCTGAGAATGATGAGAACTAGGGAAAAAATATTAAAATTTTAAGGTGATTAAAGTGATGATAAAGAGCAGAGACCAACATATAGGTAATAAGTGGTCCTGAAGAACTGACAATAAGAAAATTTCCTTAGTTGAAAAAAAAGGTCTTCAGATAATGAAAACCATGTTCAAATGTGTACGCATGTACCTACCTAAGAAAAGGAAAACAAAATACACTACAGTTAAGAAGGGTAATCAAAATAAATAACTCAAGAATGTATGTTAGATAAAAAAGATACATCAAGGCACATCATCATAAAACTGCTAAAGAAAACAAAACAAAACGAAACCCAAAGATAATGTGAAATCTTAAAAGCACCAGCAATAAAAGGTATATTATTTTTAAAGAAGTAATAATTACACTTTCAATATTAGAAATCAAAGGGAATAAGGCCAGCCCCTGTGGCTCATGCATGTGATCCCAGCACTTTGGGAGGCTGAGTGGGTGGATCACTTGAAGTCAGGAGTTTGAGACAAGCCTGGCCAACATGGTGAAACCCCGTGTCTACTAAAAATACAGAAATTAGCCGGGCGTGGTGGTGGGTGCCTGTAATCCCAGCTACTTGGGAGGCTGAAGCAGGAGAATCGCTTGAACCTGGCAGGTGGAGGCCGCAACGAGACAAAATTGTGCCACTGCACTCTAGCCTGGGTGACAGAATAAGACTTTCTCTCAGACAAACTAAAAAAAAAAAAAAAAAAGAATAGAATTACATTCAAATGACAGATGAGAATAACTTGCCAACCTTGAGCTTTCTACCCCAGAAAACATCCTTCAAAAAGAAGGTAAGCTGGGCTCAGTGGTGTGCCCCTCTAGTCTCAACTAATCAGGAGGCTGGGGTGGGAGGACTGTTTGAGGTTAGAAGTCTGAGGTTGTGAAGAGCTACTGCATTCCAGCCAAGGGAACATAGCAGGGCCCCATCTCTTTAAGAAAAAAAAATAAAAAGTAAGATAAAGATGTTTTTGACAAAAGAAAAAAATAAGAGTTGAAAGAATCTGGTTAGTATCCGACCTGTTCTAAAAGAAATACTGTAGGGAATTCTTCAAGCTGACAGAAGTGATCCCAGATAGAAGCATGGTCATACAGAAAAACAGTGAAGAGTACTAAAAAGGCAAATATACAGGCAAATCAAAATGATTACTGACTTAAGAAAATAATGTTTTATGGGCTTTATAACATATGAAAAATTAAAATACATGACATAGTAGCACCAAAGGCTAGAGAAGGTTAAATGTAGCAAAAATATCAATAATGCCTTTATACTGTATGGAAAATTTTAATTTAAAATTTTTAATTTTATTTATTTATTTATTTTTGAAATAGTCTCACTGTTACCCAGGTATGGAGTGCAGCAGTATGATCACAGCTCACTGCAGCCTTGATGGAACTCGTGGGCTCAAGTGATCCTCCCACCTCAGCCCCCTGTGTAGTTGGGACTACAGGCATGTGCCATCACTCCAGGCTAATTTAAAAATCTTTTTTTTGGTAAAAACCATTTTGCCAAGGCTGGTCTTGAACTAGACTCAAACAATCCACCTGCCTCAGATTCTCAAAGTGCTGAGACTAAAGGTGTGAGTCACTGTGCCTCGCCTAAAAAATTTAATTTTTAAGATTTGAAAATCAATAAGGATATATTCTTGTAATAATAAGGACAACCCACTAAAATAATAATAAAATAATGTTTAATATAAGAGGCTGAGGTGGGAGGATCACCTGAGCCCAGGAGATTGAGGCTACAGTGAGCTGAGATCATGCCACTGCATTCTAGCCTGGGTGACAGAGGAGAAACGGTCTACAAAAAAAAAAAGAAGAAGAAGAAGAAAAGAAAGTTTAATAAAATAGTAATTTTATTAAGTATAAAGTGAACTAAATATTCCAAATAAAAGGCAAAGTCTGTCAGGCTGAATTTTTAAAAAATAAAGCTTAAAAGAGACATAGTCAAAATAATGTAAGGCTAAAAGGATGAGAAAAGATAAAGAATTTTTAAAACCTTGAGAAACTATACCAATATCACACAAAGACTTTAAAACAAGAAGTTTAAGCTGGGTGTGGTGGGTCAAACCGTAATACCAGAATTTTGGGAGGCTGAGGTGAGCGGATTACTTGAGGCCAATTGTTCAAGATCAGCCTGGCCAACATGGTAAAACCCCATCTCTACTAAAAATACAAAATTTAGCAGGGCATGGTGGTGCATGCCTGTAGTTCCCCACTACTAAGGAGGCTGAGGCATGAGAAGGGCTTGAATCCAGGAGGTGGAAGTTGCAGTGAGCCAAGATTGCACCACTGCACTACAGCCTGGGTGACATAGGGAGACTCTGTCTCAAAAAAAAAAAAAAAAAATCAAAAAATGAAAACTCCTTTAAAGTGGGATACGTAAATAAAGATAAAGAAGCAAATTCAATTAAAAAAGATAATCCTAAATTTGAATGCACCTAATGATATAGTCTCAAAATGGAAAAAAAACTGATGGAACCAAAAGGAAACACAATCTCAATCATAGAGAGATTTTTTTTTGAGACTGAGTTTCGCTCTTGTTGCTCAAAATGGAGTACAATGGCGCGATCTGGGCTCACTGCAACCTCGGCCTCCCAGGTTCAAGTGATTCTGTCTCAGCCTCCCCAGTAGATGGGATTACAGGTATGTGACACCATGCCAGGCTAATTTTTTGTATTTTTAGTAGAAATGGGGTTTCACCATGTTAGCCAGTCTGGTCTCGACCTCCTGACCTCAGGTGATCTGCCCACCTCAGCCTCTCAAAGTGGTGGGATTACAGGCATGAGCCACTGTGCCCGGCCTGAGATTTTAATTTACTTCTTTTAGTAACTGATAGAACAAACAAAATTGATAGATACATAGAAAATTTGAATATCATTAGTAAATATTCCTTT